TGAACGTTTTTTGAATTCCTCATGTCCTGGATGACTGAGAATCTTCAGCATACACCAAGAAAGCTGCACACAACCAGAGCAGTCTGGGGGATCATTTTCTGACGAATGGTAGATACCCGCGGCTAAATAACCAGAGCATCTTATTTATGCAATCATCATCATGCAATCAGGCAATGAGGGGAAGATGGCGCTGCTGTGTCTGGCACGCCGTCCACCTCTGCTGTCTTCGCTACTTGTGTTTTTGCTTTTCTTTGCATTTTTACCTTCAGTATGGTCTCTGTCAAAGCTACTAGCGTACGATCGCCAGGCACTTTTAGATATTAGAGACTTTATGCAGAACTTATCAACTAACTTTGACAAACATTCTCAGCTTCCGCCACCGCCGCACCTTGCCTCGGTGCCTACCTGTTTATGGCGTTCTCTCGCCATGCTGCCCTCCAGGAACCGCCGACGTCAACGACGTGGAAGGAGAAGCGGACTTCATGTCAAACTCCGGATACGGGATTTTAACTTCCAGGGCTTTCACAACCAGCTAACAAGGGATTGCTATCGTTGGCTGGTTGTCACGGACGCCAGCTGCCCAAGCCCCCGCTACCGGCTCGTTGGGACCCGCACCCGGGGCTGCGTTCAGGAGAACCTCCGTCCGCTTGACCGTGGATGTCAGCAAACTGTTAGTAACTCCGTTCGTTTGGCACTGATTAACATCAGATCACTAACTAACAAAACATTTATCATGAATGACTTTTTCTCCTCTCACACACTGGATTTTCTTTTGTTGACAGAGACATGGATGAAACCAGATGAAAACAGTGCCTTCTCGGAGCTCCTCCCACCCGGCTGCTCCTTCCTCAGCTCCCCCCGTCTCACGGGTCGTGGTGGGGGCATTGCCTCAGTTTTTAGAGACAATTTCAAATGTAGACTTCTACCTGCCAGAACATATTCTTCTTTTGAGTTACAGCTGTTCGTGGCTGAGCTGACAGCCTATATTATTTGGAATTGTCTACCGCCCACCTAAATATAATAAGGACTTTATTCAACAATTTTCTGAATTTTTAGCTGACTCCATCCCCAGATTTGATAATCTGTTGATCTGTGGAGATTTTATTATTCATGTTTGCTGCCCGTCTGATCAGTTAGCCTCTGATTTTATCAATCTTTTAACATCTTTTAACTTAACACAGTCAGTACATGGGTCAACTCATCTTCTTGGACATACCTTGGACCTTATTATATCTCATGGGCTGTCCATCTCACTCTGTGAAACATCTGAAACAGCCATCTCAGATCATTTCCCCATCATGTTGGAGTTTTCAGCCTCCCTACCATTCAGTAGGCCTACCGTTGCAGGTCATGGGCGTCATATTTTTACTCCTGAGACAGCTGGACTGTTTACTGCTGCTTTTATGGACTTTCAGACTTTTGTTTCCAATGAACTTTGTCCAGATGGCTTCCTTCTCTCTTTTCAAACCACTTGCTCTGAAATTTTAGACTCCATCGCTCCTCTTCGGTTTAAATCCACCAAACTGAGAGCTGAACCGTGGTTAAACGATGCCTCTCGCGCTCTCAGGAAAAAATGTAGGAAAGCAGAACGACAATGGAAGAAAGACAAACTTCTTTCATCTCTTAAATTTTTGAGAGAATGCCTTATAAACTACCAGAAATCTGTAAGAGGCAAAATGTCTATTTATCTGGTTTAATTTCAAATAACTGCCATTGTCCTAGAGTGTTATTTAACACAATTATGTTATTAACCCAGCTGTGCATATTTCACCAGATGCCACAGCCACTAACTGTGAAAACTTTCTAAAATTCTTCCAGGATAAAGTGGCCTCAGTCAGACAGGTCACTAGTTCTGTTGCTCCTGACTCCTCTGTTGCCTCTGTAGCTCCAGTCGTGTTTGAACACTTTCAACCAGTGTCCCTTGCCACTCTCACTGATGTTGTTCAACACATGAAGCTCACTAATTGCCCACTGGACGTTCTTCCCTCCAAGTTTTTGAAAGAGGTTTTTAATTCTGTGGGTTTCTGTATTTTAACATTTTTAAACTCCTGCCTTCGTCTAGGAATTGTCCCTGCTGCATTTAAACATGCTGTGGTTAGGCCCCTTCTTAAAAAACCTCACCTAGACCCATCACTTTTATCAAATTTTAGACCTATTTCGCATCTGCCTTTTTTAGCTAAAGTCTTAGAAAAAGTTGTTTTTATGCAGTTACAACCTGTTTTAGAAAACCATGGTATCTATGAAACATTTCAGTCTGGATTTAGAACCCGTCATTCTACCGAATCAGCCCTGTTAAAAGTCCATAATGACATTTCCATGTCCATGGATGTCAAGTGTCCCGTTGCTCTGGTGCTGCTGGACCTTACAGCTGCGTTTGACACAGTGGACCACACTGTCCTGTTGTCTCGTCTCCAACATTATGTTGGAATTTCTGGTACAGCTCTCAAGTGGTTCACTGCCTATTTGACCAACAGAACGTTCTCTGTCATGCTGAATAATCTGTCTTCCTCCTCTGCCCCTCTCTCTTGTGGTGTGCCACAGGGTTCTATTCTTGGTCCTGTCCTCTTCTCATTGTACATGCTGCCCCTTGGATCAGTGATAGCCAAACATATTTTTTCTTTTCTCTGCTATGCTGATGATGTACAAATTTATTTACCAATGAAACCTAAAAACAGTAACCTTCTCACACCATTCGCTGATTGTATTGCCGACATTAAACAATGGCTTCATCTTAATTTTTTTGTTTTTAAACGAAGGAAAGACAGAATGCATCTTCTTTGGTGATGATGCTCCCTGTAACTTTGGTGCTCTGACATCCAAGTTCAGATCCACAGTTAAAAACTTGGGAGTGACATTTGATAAGGACTTAAAGTTTGACAAACAAATATCCTCTGTAGTAAAGACCTGTTTTTATCAGTTACGTCTTTTATCCAAAGTTAAGCCTTTTTTAAATCGTTCTGACTTGGAAAAGGCCATCCATGCTTTTATAACTTCAAGGCTCGACTACTGCAATTCCCTATATGCAGGAATCTCCCAATCCTCCATTAGACACCTGCAATTGGTCCAAAATGCTGCAGCTCGACTTTTAACCAACACCTCCAGACGTGAGCACATCACCCCTGTTTTATTTTCTCTCCACTGGCTTCCAGTCGATTTTAGAATTAAATTAAAAATTTTATTATTCACTTTTAAAGCTCTCAATGGTCTTGCCCCACTATATTTGTCTAATCTTGTAGCTGTCCGTGAATATAGGAGAACACTGAGATCATCTAATACATTTCTACTCTCTGTCCCAAAATCCACCTATAAACAATGGGGTGACCGGGCCTTTTCAGTTGTCGCACCCAGACTCTGGAACCAGCTACCTCAGGACTTGCGCTCCATCACTGACATGGAGCATTTTAAATCTAATCTTAAAACCTTTTTATTCAGGCAGGCTTTTAATACCTAGTAGGTCTTTGACAATTTTGCTATGTTTTAATTGTAATTGTTTTTGTTTTTAACTGACTGATTTTTTATTCTTGTTTGTTTTTTACTTCTGTACTGTGCAGCACTTTGTGCACCTTTTGGCTGCTGGAAAGGGCTCTATAAAGTTTGATTGATTGATTGATTGATTGATGCACAAAATTATGATTTATCTTATATTTAATAAGTGTGGCTTAGAGACAGGTGCATTCTAAAGCCCAACAATTATGGTACTTATGTTTATGAACACAGTCTGGTTTAACAGACTTTTCAGAGCACCACATGGGAACTGCTGGAGTTGGTAGTAGCAACATCACTGACTGAAAATTTTCTCTTCTAACTGTAGCTATTCATTAGGACTTCTGTTCAGGATTGTGGTTTTAATTTTTGTAAAACAATGGCACGGCTGTTCTGTTTTGTCCCACTAACAAATTGGACGACATACTGCCAAGGAAAGAATGGCTACTTTAATGACTTTAAAAAATCCACTTTTCACATAAATCACACATCATATTGAACTAACAAAGGAAGCTCGCCGTACAACATGAGGGATAAACATAAATCATGTGATTCTTTTATACAGTAGTCCCTCGCTACTTCGTGGTTCATTTGTTGCGGACTCACTCTATCGTAGTTTCTCAAAATAAGATTGGACATGACACACAGATGACTGAAGAATGAGCCGAACAATCGGCATGGAATTTTTATTTAAATGAATTATTTTAAATTATTTAGCACCTGCTGCACCTGTGTACAGCGCACACTGCAGGAGAAACTTCCTCCTGCAGCTCCTCCTTCCTCCTCTGTCAATCTATGTTCTGCCTCCAAGAATTGGGAGTGGCCTAGAGTGCCGAGTGCAGCCGTGGCGGAGAGCTGAGTTCATATAAATACTAAAATAAACTACTACTTACTATTTGTACTACTATTCCTACTTTGCGGTTTTTCACTTATCGCGGGGCTTCAGGGTACAAATCCTCGTGAGAAATGAGGGACTGCTGTATCAGATAACCTCTGCCACTCAAGTTGCAGAGGTAAAGTAAGAAAGACAACCTCCTTGACTGTGCTTCAAATCTTAACATTAGTATTAGCTTTGATTTTTAATCTTTTTTTCACTGTAAATCAAACCAAACTCATTTTAAATGCTGCACCTGGGTGTTTCTTAAGATTTTAGACTTTCCCTTCATAAATCATTTGTCCAAAATGTTTACCAAAAAATCTCCTACTTGTCTTATAAATGAGTGATTGTGCAGATGATAAATCACCTGCATCATGAAGGACCACACTCACCCAAAACACACACTTTTTGCCCCACTCCCCTCAGGCAGATGGTTGTGGAGCATTAAGTGTAGAACCACTAGACTGAGGAACAGCTTCTACCCTGAAGCTGTTAGATGTAACTGTTAGATGTAGCTGTTGGGTGTAACTAGGACGCTGAGTTCCGCTTCATGTACATGTGATGCGAATGACAAAGTTGAACTTGAAAAATTCAAGAACTTCTCATTATTGAAATCGCTGAAAACTGACCTGCTGTCCATACAGCATGCTGCCAATGGCACCAGTTGTGCGGTTCTGCATTCCCATGGGGTACCTCTGAGGCCCTGGAGGTCCATAGCCCTGTCCTGGGTAAGAGCTTCCTTGCTGGGGTCCGGGCCCTCCAGGGGGCCCTTGCTGATGCGGCGAGTAGGGGTTAGGTCCTCCATAAGGCTGGCCACGTATCTTCCCAACCTGATCCATGGGGCTTGGAGGCTGCAGGACACAGAAAAAGACAATATAATCCTGAAGTTTGAGATGTCAGTCATGGTTTTGGGACTGATGATTTTCACTCTTCTGTTTGGGGTTCAGCAAGGCCATCTAGACTTAAAAAGAAAAACAAACGGCTAAATCTGTTCCATTTTTGTTGGCCATTTATAAAAAGACCTGCGTCCGTGATGAATACAAATAATGACTCCACCAGTGCCCTGTGTGTATGCAAGCATCATCTCATAAACCAGTCACAGTACATCCATCCATTATCTTTACCTGCTTCTTCTATTTTGGGTCACGGGGTCGCCTGTACCCATGTCCAGCAATCACTGTGTGAGGGGCGGGGTACACCCTGGAAGGGTCGCAAGTCCATCACAGGGACAGAGTCACAATATAATCAGACAAAAATAGAACAAAGAGCTGAAGGGGGAGGAAGGGGAAAAAATTGTAGCAATTTACTTTCTTGCTAGAAAGGTTGGG